GGGGAGTTTTAGGTAGTAACGTGGAGTATATATATATATATATAGGCTATACAAGTGTGTATTTTTTATTTTTTATTTTTTATTTTTGTTAATGGTTGAAATAGATGCTTGTCGTTTTCACTTTTTTTTTTTGGCTGAGACCAATATATTTTTTTCCAAGCTACGTGACTGAATTCATGAGAATAAATTTATTTTATTTGTGAGTGCATCTTCTTTTAGATTATTAATAATTTTATGTAGTTAAGACTTTTATTTGTCAAATAAAGTATGCACACTTGCACATGTGTTTTAATAGTCATGTTAGTCACTTCTGGCAACTATTTATAACTTTCAATATTCTTCTTCTTCTTTTGTTTTATCGATTAAGAGACAGTTTACGTTATGTAACAGTATTTTTTTCCCTTCAAATTTCCAATTATTCCACTGTCTCTGTGTTTAGTACAAGTGGTTATAACAATTCACAGTGTGTTTGGAATAATGCTAATAATAATTTTGAATAGAGTAGAAGTAGAAGTTACATAAACCTTATTAGTTAACGAACTAATTACTTAGATAAAATATTATGTATTTTATCATATCTTAGTGTCCTCATAGATATAATCAAATTTAGATATAATTTATTTTAATTACATTATATCTAAGTAAATTAGCTTGTGTACGATGTATATAGCAAATCTCGTTTGTCTTTCTCCGTACGAGAAAACTTATGTCTAGGTATTCATATATTATTGGTCACCTACCTTCTTCCTTACAAACTAAGAAACTCTCACAAGAAAAATATGTAGTACTGTATCTTTTTATTATTATTATGGTGGGCTCATAATGGTCGGATCAATCTTACCTCCTTTTTTTTTTATATTCGGTGTTTTGTTTTAAGGTACGATCAATTTAAATTTATAATAAAAATAATTTTTTCTTTTTTTTCTTTATATTTAATAAAGTGGTCATATCAAAGATGATTCATTTAAGATTTCAAATTTAAAATTTTTAATTATAGACGTATAGAGTTTTATCACTGAACACAATCTTTAATAGTAATCACTAGCTTTATTGATTTTTTATTTTTACAATATTTCAATAAAATATTGTTTTGTTCTTTGAGTTTCTGAAAAGCCTCCCAGTAAAGTAAGCAATTCTTTAGCCGAAACAGCACCTCTCTTGTAGTGGAATTTCCTTTTTAATACCCCTCGATTTTATAACAAATTAAATAATATAATTCTAAGCATTATAATTTTAAGGAAAAGTACATATTACTTATTCATTTATAATTAATGTTGAATATATATCCATTCTTTAATATAATATATAAATATTTAATACAAATAAAATTATTTTCAGATATGATATTTGTAACCGCGACGGAGACAACAAGGGGCCAAAATTTTCGTTTATAAAGCAAAAGGAAGCAAAAGAAACCACTTCTTTTTATTTTATTATATTTTTTCCAAACCACACAATTTCCACTTTTAATATCTCACAACTACATGCCCAAAATCATTGAGCTTGCACCCCATAATTTTAACTTTTAATTTAGGCGACATTGCTCGAGAGATCCTTATATTTGGGTTTTGTTTCAATTTAAGTATTCGGTTAAAATTATGGGTGTCGCTGGTGTTAGTAAAATGAGCTCATAGTTTGATTACTCGTTCAAACCATTCATATTTTAATAAGTTGTGCGAGTGAATTTTCATATGGGTAAAATATAGATTGATACTCATATTTGAACCATAAAAACATGGATAAAATATGAATTAGTTTAAGTTTTTAACTTTTCTTCATTCAAAATTTACGATATCACTAAAAATAGTGTAACTTCTCTTCTTTTTTATGTTATTCTATAAAACAAACTATTCTTCTCTATAATTGAAATGGAGAAGTCTTTGACCCTCCAAAAATATATAATTAAAATGTACATTTCTTTTGTTAGTTATAATTACATTTTATTTATTTATTTATTTAATTTTATATGGGATAATCAATAATAGTGTAAATAAGCAAATCATGTCTTAGTATTGACGTTGCTTGAAGTGAGTTAAACATGTTTCAGTCCTAAATACAAATGTTCATTTACTTTGAAATTAATAATATTTTATCTTGTTATCACATAAATTTATAAAAGGATTTTTTTTTATTATACACTTAAACTAAATGAAGCATGTTCAACATTTTTCATCTAAAAAAAGACTAAAATATACGGGCGGGTTGAATTACTTATTCATTTTATGTTGTAAAAATTTAAGGAATCCCATAGTGTAATTCAATAATTTCATTCTGTCGCCGACAAATTTAGTATTTACAAAAAAATCCCTTAAATTTGTTGAGCCGTGATACTTTAGACTCTAGTGATACATGGTAAATGATACATGGTAATTTTAAACTGTTGAGAAAAAAAGGGGAAAAAATGGTACAGTTAATGTTGTTAATAAAACAGCTAAATTTACGGTAACATATCATTAATCAACATAAAATCAGCACTTAATTGGATATTAATTTCAAATTTTGAAAAACAAAGATTATATCATCTATTTTGAAAATAATTTTTTTGAACAATCTGTTAAATTTCGAACTACAATAATTTTATTGTTGTTACAGTGGATTTTTCAAGATGAATACTTCGATTTTGATGAGACATTCCGGAATTTGGGTGAACGAATTGCAGAATGAAAGTTACAAAATCGACGGAATCGTTGTTGGAGATTCAATTTCGTATCTAATACATGTATCAGAAACATCGACTAAACAATATACACACTGATTCTATATGTATCATCAAGTACAGTTGATGACGCATTTATTAAACTTAGTGAATGATACATTATAACAATTTTCAAAACATGTATCAGTACATCAACTAAACAACTAATATCTTACTGATACATGATATCAGTTTTCAGAAATTCATACTATATGCAAAACGTGTGATACATATCTACTACATGTATCAGTGAATTGACTAAACACTGTACACACTGATTCTATATGTATCATCAAGCACAGTTGATGACGCATTTACTAAACTTATTGAATGATACATTATAACAATTTTCAAAATTTCATGATACCTATAAAATATTATGATACACAACAAATTCATGTATCAATTCACCATCTAAAACACTATACACACTTATTCAAATGTATCGGCAAGCACACTTAAATTCCTTAAAATTTTTACTAATTTCAACAACAGTTTTAAGTACCAAAATACTAACCCGAGACAATGTAGGCCTAACAAACTTTAACTCTTTGAGTCCTGTTTGGCCTTATGCAAAGTTGATGCTAGAGGAAGAGGAAAGGGAAGTGGTAACTGGGAGAATGTATTGGGATGAGATGAAGATTGTATACTTGTTTTTATCACCTTAACTTCTTCTAAGGCAAGAGGCACTGGTTCTTATGTTTTTGGTGTGTAAGCAAAAGATAAGGAAGTAAGAACAAAACGGTAGAAAGATATGGAAGTTATCTTGCTTCCTGATTTTTTGAATTTTGAAATTCAAAATTTCAAAATTAATAATTCAAAATCAAAAAGCTGATTAAAAGGTTGAGTGTTTAAATGGATAAAATTTAAAATTCAAAAACTAATTTAAGAGGTTGAGTGTTTTAATGGAGAAAAAATAGGCATTAAAATTGGTAAATGTGTATTATAGGAGAGAGAGTGTAATGTATCCAAAAAATTACACTAAAATTAAAAAAAGGGAATTATGTAATATTTAAAAAAAGTAGGGAAAATTAGATAATATAAAAATTATAGTTGTGTGTTTAAGTTATTTTTCCTTTTATGTTTACCCATTTACAACCCGCTCACATTTGACCCAAACCGCTCATTTGTCCTCATTAGATGCAATTAATAATTCGAATTAAGTATAAGGATCTCCTAAGTTATTGCTCAATATTATAAGAATTAAGAACAAAAATCAGGGCAATTATATATACTACAGATTTCTTTATGTACTCACTACTCACAATATTGCTATCCATGAAGCTTCAGATTTTTTGGATAAATAAAAATGGCAAAGGAGTGGACAATGTCATTAAATTATGTCAAAAACTTGAAATAATGGTGATTAGGATTATTCTCAGTGATAGTTAAGACCTTACAATTTTAGTTTGTAGAAGTTGACATAGCAATTTAATTTGTATTAATGTTTTTAGAATTTTTACGCATACCACTTTAGATATGTAATGTGTCTGAGTTAAGTCTATCAAAATCAAACATCAAACACACTGTCTGAAATTTGTTAAAATTAAATTTCAAAAATTATGTATGAATGAGGTTCATTCATTTGTATCTGAAATTTATCTTGATAAAACTCTGTATACAATGTATGAAGTTAAACTTTATTAAGATTAGCATCAAAACACTCATATATCTAAAGTTATTCCAAAGTAGATATACATTCTTTTTTCTAAAAAAAGAACATATCAAAAGTTAATTAGAGACTTCTCGGGTATACTTTACCCGCTATACTTTGTTAAAGTTTGATCGGGGCATCGGTCCATCAAGTAGCCCAGTTCAATGAATGATTGGGCTTGAGGGCCGCTTAGAAGCCCACATGTATACTCCCAATCTTGCTTGCCATATGTACAAATGCATATGCATAATATACACTTAAAATCGATATACATATACAATTCACCTCTCTCCCATTCTCCGTTCTCTCTTGCTCGCCATATATACAAATGCATCTGCATAATATACAATTATTTTACCGATATACATATACTATTCATCCTCCCACTCTTTGCC